ATTTCATGTCATTAGTTCCTCTAGTAATAGATTTACTAAGAAAAATGGTGACATGTTCAATATTTATTTTACCCGCTGTATATATAGGTCCCACATATTGTACCACCCCAGAAACACTGCAACAACTCATCACTTGGCTGTTGGTTGGCATGGCCACATTGCCTAAAGCAGAGGTTCTCAAACTGGGGTCCCAGGACCCCCAGGGGTCCACGAGCCATATCTGGGGGGTCCTCAAAGATTTCCAATAAATGTTTATTTTGGATTTTATTTGAAAAATGAACATGACGAACAATGCACTAGTAAAACAAACATACTAAACCAAACAAAAACATAATATTCTCATAATACTGTATTTAGGGGTTAAAATGACAGTAAATTATTTCTAAAACAGCACGGTGTTTATGAGGGGTCCCTGGAAATTTTTCACACTTGTAAGGGGTCCTCAGACCCAAAAAGTTTGAGAACCCCTGGCCTAAAGGACCCAGCATACTCCAGCTGACCCCAAGCAGTCAATGCAGGGTCACATGGTTGATCGACGTTTGTTTTCTTACACTTTTCATAGCCCATGAGACGGACAACTCCTGGCTTCTGGGAAACCCCTATAGCTGCAGTATACGTCACTGCACACGGGTTTCTTCATGCTGGAGTCTACACTCCAGAAGATATACCCCCCACCGTCAAATATCTGCCATTGTCACGGTTAGAGCGCCACTCTTTTTTGGCAGACAGATTTCTCCGTTCTCTCCATCTGAGAGTTTTTGGTTATTTGACCATCGTTATAAATGTCTACTTTCAAGTACAACAGTTGGATTCTGGAAGCAAATAGTTGGAGCAAAAAGCAGCATCCGACGGCTGAGTGCTTTCAGCATAAAGAAACGCGCCCACGAACTTTGGACCAATCAAATAGCAATTTCATATGGGGGGTCCTCCAGAAATGTTGTGACAAGAAGGGGTGGCAGACTCAAAGCTGAGAACAAAATGACACAATTTTTCTTACGCAACTGCGACAGTGAGAGCTGATTTCACATGATATGATTTTTAGGATACAATATGAAGATAAGATAAGATAAGCACACACATACGTACATCAACAGACATCATTCAAAATCAACAACATAAACACTACTATAGTTGGAGCTGTGTTGTCAGTTTTTGTTTTAATTTATAAAGCAAAGCTTGGACGAGCACAACAAATGTTTAGAAGGAGAGCTAGGGGGCAAAACCTCATGCGGAATATCGGTCTGCTTTGTGCTTCACACGTACAAAGAAAAGCACATCATAGATAATGGTGACATTTAGGTAGTTTCTACTCTACCAGTGCTAATGCAGTTTTAATGGTGAGGGTGCTGGTAGAGTGTTCAACCGGCTGAGCCAATCAACATACACTGTGCACTGTATGTATGACCACACAAGTCCCCTTCATCAAAAGGCCAATCATCAAACATCTCAGTGACTAACACTACAATCAGTATTCAAGAGTTTGAAAGATTCATTCCACATCATGTCACAATTAGCCTCCACCTCAAATTTGATTGACTTGCTTACAGTGTAAATACATGTAAGGATGATGCCATTGCTACAGCCCAATCAATGAGCCATTTCAGTCACCATAGAAACTATAGAAGAATGCTTTTTATTGATCATAGCTGTGTGTTT